ATCATGACAAATCTACAATATTATGATTAAGTCTATTATTAGAAAAATAATAACAACGAACTCGTGCCATAATTCTACAAGGACAACTCTGTTGACCAGGATAGATAACTGAATCTTCTTGAGAATATTCTTGTGTGGTCAGTCATGCGTTATGTCTTCATCCGCCATACATCAAACCTTTAGGCTGTCATCTTGGCTAAGGTTTAGTGCTCACAAACTCATCAACAATGGGCTTATTGCCTGCAAAAAACAGTATCGACTGCATGACAGCATGGAAACTAGGTTTTTTGTCCATACAAACTAGAATTTCATTCTTTAGTCAGTGTTATTCAGTTGTTCGAAGTCAGAATGCACCATAGCTAGAATGGAATATCAGAAAGAATGGTAAACGGAATTACCAATCTTTTTGTTGCTGTAACTGATTTTTGTGACTCTCAAGCTCTTCTAGCAAGTGCAACGGGTTGGAGCTTTCAAGTGACATTGATAAATCTGTACGCCAAGTGATTGTTTGTCATATCTCCTCAGTCAGTGCGTGGTTGAATTAGCGAGCTTATATTCTTATTATCTGACAGTAAGTCTGCCAATCATAACAGTTTCTATTTGTCACAGAGCTTCTGTCAGTTTCCAATTTCCGTTTAACTCCAGCTGAAATTATGGGGTTGGTTTCTAACATCTTCCAGTTCACTATCTGGTTTTGAGTTTCTTATTTGATCTCATACTAATTGAAAATTGGTTCGAGTTTAACTTCATAAATTTTTGCTACGAGCGAGTATTCCTTATTTTATGGTTCTGTTTGTGGAGAAATATCGACATTTGTCTGTTAGCTGACTGAGTGATCATTCAATAGATACTTCCGTTTTGTCTGGTTAACTGCTTGATGATAATGAAGCAGATGTTGAGCTAGATACGATTGAAATTTGGGACTAGTCACTTTTTAAATTGAATCTGTGGAATACAACGACAGACAGAATAAATTTGATCTGATGGATTTTATAGAGATTTTGGTTCCTGAACCACACGATCCTTGAAGCAGAACACTCATTCAGCACTTAACACTTGGAGGTCAGAAGCGGTGAGCGTGAAACATTTAGTTAGTATGGCATGGCTAGGTGATGGAGAAGCAGTCACTCTATGGAACTTATCTCTTTTCATACCAAACATATCATTCCATCCCTTCGAAAGTGTTAAACGTTATACTGCTGCTTATCACGTAGGATGAGTCGGTATGGGCAATTATGTGACTTCCATGTTAGATCTTACAGATTAGGTAATCAAATCACAACAAATCTGTGATTTTGGGATTAGGTATATTATTTTAGTGCTAAAGACTAAATGTAAATGAAACCAACCCAGACCATATATCAACAAGCTCTCTGTTTTTTGGATGCTTGTTGTGCTAGTATAAAAACTTTGCGGCTAACAGATAAGTGTTGATAGCTGAACATGATAGGTGTAATGAAGAAAGTGGACGAACCTCTTCCTACAGGCACATAAGATGGATAAGTATCAATGGAAACGTGAAAAATGTAGGGACTGGAGCAAGAACTTTCGCTGCTTAAGAGCTGATTTAATCAGATGCGACTTGGTCTTTGAGGTTTGCCGACATGATACATAACATAACAGGTCTTAGTCATTCTGTAATTTACAAAAAAGTGGCTGTTGAGCAGGTTGCTAAGGTGGAAAATAAATATACTGAATTTGTTGTGTAGTGAGAGTTATTATTTGTATGGTTGTGGTAAACTAGTCAGTTCACATGTATAACGAAGGTCAGGGTGAGTCAGAAAGAAATCACCATGTTTGAAATTTTCCCAAACTGGACATGTGGGTAAAAATTGCAAGCTACATATGATGAAAACTCACCGATAATTGAAGGTTCAAAATGAAAACTCTGAGGAAAATTGAGTTAGCTGTTTGAGGGTTACAATTAATCTCAGTACAATGTCAAAAATCTAAAGTTTTCTTGGTAGTCACTCCATACAGGAATTACGGCCATCTGTCGTACAGTATATAAATAAATGACTCAAATAATCCATCGTTTATTTGTGATGGCCTGCAAAATTATCTACGAACTAACAACGTTAGCTCTTCAGCGCAGCTGTGCTATGGATTGATGTCGCCTAGGATAAGACGTTTATCATAAGGCCCTACAATTCGGGTCAGTGGATTAAATCTTTCATTTCACCACAGTTTCTTTCAAGAATTACGCGCAAATAAACGAGCGCATTCCTGCATTTTAAAATGAAATTCTCTCATGACACTTACTTAATTACGCCTGTTACTCCCAATGGAGCATAGACCGCCGACCAACATTCTTCAACCCACTCTGTCCTGGGCCTTCTTTTCTAGTTCCATCCAATCCTTGTTCATTTTTCTCATGTATATCTCCATTTTCCGGCGTAATGTATTCTTTGGTCTTCCTCTTTTCCTTTGACCCTCAGGATTTGCCTTGTGACGTAGTTGGGTGCTTTCTTCAATTTGTGTCCTATCCACTTCCAGCGTTTCTTCCTGATTTCTTCCTCCGCTGGGATCTGGTTTGTTCTCTCCCACAGTAGGTTGTTGCTAATAGTGTCTGGCCAACGGATCCGAAGTATTTTGCGTAGGCAACTGTTAATAAACACCTTTATCTTCTGGATGATGACTTTCGTAGTTCTCCAGGTTTCTGCCCCATACAGTAGAACTGTCTTGACATTTGTATTGAAAATTCTGACCTTGGTGTTGGTTGACAGTTGTTTTGAGTTCCAGATGTCCTTCAGTTGTAAATATGCTGCTCCTGCTTTGTCGATCCGCGCCTTCACATCTGCATCAGATCCACTGTGTTCACCAATGATGCTGCCTAAATATGTAAAGGTTTTTACAACTTCCAAATCTTCTCTGTCAAGTGTGGTTTCATTGGTGTGTGTTGTGTTGTATCGGAGAATCTTGCTTTTCCCTTTGTGTATATTGAGACCTACCGCTGCTTAGGCTGCTGCCACACTGGGATAGAAGGGCCAGATCATCTGCGAAGTCTAGATCGTCCAGCTGCATCCTAGATGTCCACTGTATCCCGTGTTTCCCTTCAGATGTTGACGTCTTTATGATTCAGTCGATCACCAGGAGAAAGAGAAAGGGTGAGAGTAAGCAACCTTGCCTGACACCGGTCTTTACTTCGAACGAATCTGTGACTTGTCCTTCATGCACGATTTTTAAGTTTAATCCATAATATGAACTCTGTATGATTTGACTATCTTTTGAGGCACGCCGTAGTGTCGAAGAAGCTTCCATAGTGTTGTTCTGTCCACGCTATCAAATGCTTTCTCATAGTCAATGAAGTTGATGTAGAGTGATGTATTCCATCTAATTGATTGTTCCACAATTATCCGTAGAGTTGCGATTTGGTTTGTACACGATCGATCCTTACGGAATCCTGCCTGTTGGTCTCGAAGTTGGGCGTCTACGGAGTCCTTTTTTCCAGTCTGTTGGTACTTGTTCCTCATCCCAAATCTTATTGAAGAGAATGTGGAGTGTCCTTGCAGTTGCCGCTACGTCTGCCTTTAGTGCCTCTGCTGGGATGTTTTCCGGTCCTGCTGCTTTGCCACTCTTGACTTGTCTGATGGTCATGCTAATTTCTTCAATTGTTGGTGAGCCAACATTGATTGGGAGGTCCGTGGGTGCTGCTTCGATGTTGGGTAGGTTCAGTAGAGCTGGTCGATTCAAGAGTTCTTTGAAGTGTTCTAACCACCTGTTTTGTTGTTCTTCAATGTTGGTGATTACCTTGCCTTCCTTGCTTTTCACTGGTCGTTCTGGTTTGCGGCGATTTCCAGAGAGTTTCTTTGTCGTGTCATACAGTAGTCTCATGTTTCCTTCTCTTGCACCTTTTTTCGCTGTCATTGCTAAACCTTCCACATATTTACGTTTGTCAGTTCTGATGCTTCTTTTCGCTTGTTCGTGTATTCAGCTTGTGCCTTGGCTTTTTCTGCTCTTGTTCGGCTGGTATTGATCACTGCTTTCTTGTTCCTCCTTTCTTGAATCATATCCAGTGTATTAACTCTCGTGACACTACTATGTAAAAATTACAAATTGCTGCATAAGCTTTTCGGGTGGTTTCATCATCGAAATTTACACGTTGTTCGGAAATTTCAGTATTGATTATTTCCCGGGGAGTAGCTCTGATCATATTACCGGGTAAAACACTGAAGTTATTTCGAATGCAGCCGCTGCGACTACTCCAATTGTAATCGTTACATTTAATGCCTGCTTTATTATTGAGCAAACCACTTGAAAAAACGGCAGTAAGCCGCTCTAAATCCAGCACTTTCACAGGAAAACAATAAGCGCTTAGGTGCTCAGTGGTCTTCGTGATCTAAAAAACCGAAGTTAATAAAATTGTACATCAACACATATTTTTCTGCTTCTCCAGCGTTTAATGAGTCAATAGAAATTTTTAAGCGACATTCGTCGGTCCAAAGACCTTCATAATCATGAAGATGGTCACTCGGAATCAAGTGACTAGACTCACTACACTGAACTGTGCAGAAGACTTATGATGCTCCACGAAGACCAATGAAATTTGCAACAGATCATCATAAACCCGAGGCAATTCTACGTACTAGTAATTTAAAATGTTCTAAAAGCACGCCACGTTAAAATCCTGTCATATTGGTTATATCCGTATTATCAAACTTTATATGATTGGTAAGGCAACACTTCAGTAACGGAGCGATCTTCGAATAATTTTCGCTGCTTTGTAAGTGATTTCCTACTTAGCAGGGTGGTCCTATCATATGAGCATTTAGATAATCATTGTTTTGAAAAGTTTGAAAGCCGATTCATCTTATCTTTTTGCATGGGTATTGTATGCTGTCTTGTTATATCTTTTAAATGCAATAATACGATATTGTATAGTAGAATCCTCTTTATTTAGGCAGTAAATTTTTCTTATACATTTTCTGCAGACTAAACGTCGAGATTTATCTCCGAGCCGTAAAGCTTCACTGGCACCCCCTGATATTATAATTTACAACATGGTCGAAGAAAAGTTCAAGGTTTTAACATTTAATTGCTGGTTTGTGAAGATTTATGTAGTTGATCTTTTAGGGCCGTGTTTTTCCCGTCTCCGACTGTGAGGAAAGAAGACCGTGTTAATGCGATTGCCGCGAAGTTATCAGTTGGGGATTTCGACGTGATTTTACTTCAGGAGGTAGGTAGGTGTACTCGCTGAACTAGCTTTTGGCAGATTTGGCTGGAATCAGATTACAGAAAGCTCCGAAACATTCTGGACGAGAAGTATCCATACTCTAATTACTTTTATTGGTATGTATTCGATGGAGTCATCTAATTGTTTCCTAGCAACCTTATAGGAACTGGTATGTGCATATTTTCAAAATGGACTATAGAATGTGTGTTCACACATCCCTTTACTACTAACGGATATCCTCATCTTATTCACCAAGGTGATTACTATTGTGGCAAAGGTATTGGGTTAGCCCGGATCACAAGCAAAGAAGGATTTAGGATTAACTTTTATGTAACCCACGTAAGATTTTTCTCTCTTTAAAAATAGGTTTGATTAACTGGATTTTATTTGATAAAAAGTTGTTTGTAGATTTTGTTAAAAAGTACTCATATAGTTAGATCTCTCAGAGTTTGTTGAACCTGGAATATTCCAAACTAATCAAGTTACAAAGCAGGCATATATTTCTGTTTTACCTGGGACAGTCGCTTAAGTATCAAGAAATTTATTAGTAGTATCCCCTTCTAATGCATCAAAACGATAAAGTTTGGTTTTGAATGGTCAGCAGTTTTTTGATACAATTAGTTCCAATTCTTTTTTGTTTCATAATTTTCAAAAAGTTGTGCCTTCATTGCATTTCACTCATTTTCCACTGCTTTCTAATGAAGCATTGTCCATTTCTTTATTTAATGGGTATTCTATGGACATTTCATTGTATGTAGAGAAGACGTACTGGAACCTCGGGTCATTCTTGTCTATCCAGATTTTGCGACATTATCAGTCCTATAATTATACAGCTTTTGACTCATATAAAAAGTAGATCTTTGTGATAAGCTGTTTTTCCTTATTGCAGTTGTGTTATCCAGTGTTTTTGATAATCCCCATTTAAACGTCGTTATTTCCAAATAGTTTAGTTTTAATGCCTCTAAGTTTGAGCAAACATGAATTTATCATGGAATGGCCTGCTATGAATAAAATAAGCTTGTTTACCAAAACCATTTCATTTTATTAAACAATACAGAATCATGCACATGTTCTTGAAATGTATGGATTGTGTAAGATCTGGCGAAACAACAGGGGCACTGAAACCAAAACATGGAAATTAGCGTTCTAACTTTTACCTTGGTAGCCAAACGTAAACTTCAAGTTGCTATGACACTAATGAGAGACAATTAGTAGGGTTACTGAATCTTTGGAATCATTCAAGATTTGTCAAAGTTACTTTTTTTCGGGATAACACCAAACTTCGCTTCTCTTACTCAACGTTTTTGCAAATGATATTTCTCAACTAATAACTTGATGAGGCATGTGTTAGCGGTAAAAGTGTGCATATCTCGGTGAGACTGTAAATTATGGAAGACCTTTGCGCGACACTAAAGTGACCTTGAGAGTGTCCACCTAATAACGGACCAAATGTAGGTTATAAACCAGTGTGAGGATTAGGATTGGCAGTCGATGGTTGAGGTTAGGAATTAGATTTAGGATTTTCATCACGAACTGACATCAGCTTTAATGTCAAAACTATTTAGTCAAATGAAAGTGAATTTCGCTCCGAAATCCATGATTTATTATCTTATACCTGATTTGTTCGTTCATAAACTACAGTTTCGCTTATATCTCCTCATTAGTATAAGATCACGTATAATAAATTTTTTGATTGAGATCCTGAACCGATCGATGCTACACCACCTTTGGAAACCTGGAAGCACTGGACGGCCGTCTCGTCCTATTGTGGGACTCCTCAGCAGTGCGCATCCACGATCCCGCTCGCGGGATCCGAACCCAGGGCCTTTGGTCTTGCGTGCGAACGCTTAACCTGCTGGACCACTGAACCGGCATCCAGTGGTGATAGTGTATAACATCAACCAATCCACGAAATTGCGCGACCAACTTCCATTGTACTGAGGTAGATACCTGTCTCTACCCAACACGGATTAGCTCGACTGATCACGGCTTCTCACTAGAACTCCGAGAATTCCCTCACGAAGCTAGTCACTAGTGCGCACATGTTGATTACTAGTATAGGGGTTGTGGAGATTACTAAGTTTTTGATTGAGATCATAAACCGATTGATGTTTTCAATCAAAAACTTAATAATCTCCACAACCCTTATACTAAATTTGTTTGTTTGATTGGTAGTTATTTTTAAAAATCTTCCTCAAACACAACATAGTTATCTAGGTTATTTAATATTTGATGGATACTGCTATAATCAGAAAAGCATCAAGTTTGCACGCATCTCTTACTTAAGACAATTCTGTCGGAGGACTTGACTGGATGAGACAGATTAGTAGATGTTTTATCCCTCAGACTTTTAGATGAGTCAGTAATTGATTTCAGGTACGAATAGTCATTTTTAATTCTCACACTATGTAGAGTATTATATCGTTTATCTACTTAGGTAGAAACTAGTAGAAGGCGTTTCAAATCACTTAATAACCATAGTTTGCTCATAACTTGTTTGCGTAGTTATAGAATATTTACGATGCTTTAGACATACAACATGAAAGGTATGTTTTCGTCTTATACGTCCATCCCCTGTTGACAGCAATTTCCTGCAATGACAGTCTGAATAGATTACGCTGATTGATTATAATTTGTTGAACTTTAAAGCGATCAGTTCCTTTGATAAATTTTGATAATGTAATAAGAAGACGAAGATTATCAAAATTATGTGATATATTAGCGCAATACATTTCGAACAATCTGATCACACATATACTTGTTAAGAGCATTTATATATAAAATATAAAAGGTCAACTAGACTGGAAATGGGGTAAGAGGAGATAAGGATAATAATAAGAGAAATAATAATGTCAACACAATTCGAAACCTAATCTTTCTGGATAATAAGTCAATATTACCAGGGTAGGTTTAAGGTAAGAACAAACTGTTTTTTGAGCACACAAAGGGGGTTTGACTAAGGCCTCAATAAACCTTAGTATACGCCCTTTTACACTTTTATACAAAACCACAAAAACCGAGTTTAGACCAATCTTATGGCCTGTTTCAATTATATGTTTAGCAATAGACGATGATGGATGTTTATCCTCTGCTCTTATTGGGTCAATTGATTGTATTTGTTTCTGCAACCATTTCGGTACATGTTGACACTAATTTTGAGATCACGATTGCTCCTCCCTATTTATGTGTGACCAAATACACGTTTAAATTGGTAAACACAGATTGTTCAAAATGTATTGCGCTAATATATCACATAATTCTGATAATCTTCGTCTTCTTATTACATTATCGAAATTAGTTGAACATTGTGAAATTTGTCAAATTGTTTTTAGCTGTGTGAGAAAACATAATTTGTCTGTTTTGTTTTACCCTAACAAGAAATTTGAGGATTTTTAAGCCATCGAATGAGTTTAGTAAAAACAGTTGGTTGAATACAGATTGGACCGAGATGGACATATTATGTTGTGCATAAATCAAATTCATTTACACGGTTTATATAATAGCAATCAAAATTATGTTATGAATTTAAAAGTTTCACACATTAAAATAATTTTGATGAATAGCCTGGATATTCCTTAAGGCGAAGTATATAAATATAGAGGACTTGTTAGATTTTATATGGAGCATTCCTTGTATGTCATTCCAATATAACGGTAAGGCAGTGAATCTCCTGTTAACGTAATGCATTGAGTATATGAAATAAAACCTGTCAATAGTTATAGTTTATGCAGTATTATAAATAATGCGGAAAATATAGGATAGACTAGTTGAAATTCTAATGATGTTTAGTAGTGGTATTTTCAAAAAAAATATTATGTGACATAAATAAAAAGTTTTGATTCTTCAAAACTGGTAATTAATAGTTAAAATGGGATCCAATTTTCTACATTGCATATTAGTACAAAACAGGAAATCAACAATATGTGAAGTAGAAGAGGTACAATAAAGTTAAACACATTAGAAATTTAAATATAGAAAATACAGTTTAAACAATGAGTGAAGAATAAAAACTATGAATTAATAGTGACTGTTTATTTCAAATAATCTGTCAAAATTAAAAGAACGACGTTTACAATTTGTATGCCTACATCAATTAAGTGCTATTAATGCTCTGCTTTGTTTATTTCTATATTTGTAATTTATTCAAAATAATATCATAGAATCTTCAGTGGTCTCGATTTCTTTCTATAATAAAAATAATTTATTATTCAAAAGTTATATTTAGTGGTACGGACAACACCTACCAAGAATTTGTATAAATTATCTTTCCTGAGATCTTTTAATAATATTTTTATTAAAGTATATGTTTAATTAATGACTAATTGGTATTTATGGTACTCATAAGCCACCTACAGTTTGGCATACTCGACTTCAAACTGACCAAGGCAAAATAGACAGAACTTGTGACCTGGTTGGATGTTGTATGTTTCAGCCATCAGACTATACCTTAGTGTCTATTCATTTTGTCCTCTTTTATGAGAATAAATAAAACAAATAGCGAACACTAATATAGCTACCTTAATATTCATAAATTTAGGTGCGAATTCAGGTTTAGTTAAGTACAGCAGTACTCATCGAACTCGAAATGTTTTGTAATGATGATAATTCGTTTGTTAACAAAGCTAAGTTATTGTGTTTAAGTTTAGAGATGTTTACGGTTTTCGTGCTCACCTTGAAATCAAAGGTCTGCAAGTGTAATTTTCACAAAAGTCATAGGCTTGGATACTATGCAATAAGAAGTTAGGCTACTCCTTACTTTTTCGTTATTTAGCAGCTCTTTGACTGCCATTAATTTACCGCAAAAACTTGTACCTTTAAATTGGTATATTTAAATTTAACTTTAAACCTTTAATAAGATATGTTTTGATTGAACATATTCTAATCAAGACATTCAAAATATCATCCCTTTGGTAACTGAAATAATTATTGGATTATGTAATACATCCCTTAGAATCCATGCACGCAAGCGAATATATAAAAGCTCTGCAATACCTTACTTAGCAAATAAATTATGACGAACAGGTTGTAAGAGCTGACGTAGTCAATGACGTGTATTCCTAAACATGATTCTAAGTAAAAGTTATACAGATTCTAATCTCATTAAAAGATATTTCATTTAGTTCCATTTAGTTTATTAACCTAGTTTATGTCTGTATTCAGGTGTCGTTTTTTTGGAAAGGAAACTTGTTGAATTGTAACTTTAGAATTGTATTAAACGTAAAATATTGAATAAAGCCATTAATGATAACAATAGGTTAGTAATATCTCAATGAGTAGAAAATTGTACTTCTGACGTTTCATAACTTAATTCAAGTTACTTCTTCAAAGTAAATAAATAGACGAAATAAAATTAACACAAGTTTAAACGATACAAATAATAATAATATTTTTATTCTAAATAAACTTCGATAAGTGTTATATTTTTCTAAACATTTTTCCTTTTTTACTCGCATAATTAAAATAATATTAGTATCTAGTCAGATAATCAATATATCATATGACTGATGAGCTATATAATAATGACACTTTTCTAAAGCAATCATTTTTTGTGTGATTTATGCAATTATAATTTTACCAACGAACTTGCCAGGTATGTATATATCTATTATTTACAGTGTAATTTTATTTAATAGATTAATATGATCTTAACCCTCAAGTGAATAGATTTATTTAGCATTATTTTATCTCTAACATATAATACTGATGTATGAAGTCTGTGATTAACAACGTTTGACCGGTTGAACTCCACTGGTCATTGCTTCTCACTAGAACCCTAGGAAATACCTCTTGAAGCCAGTCACTAGTGAGCGTATGATGATTATTATCAGAAAGGGGTTTTGTGGATAGTGTGGTATTTTAATAGTTGAGTTTATGAGTCAATTGAAGCTAGACCACCATGGTCTGTTGTGAGATAGTAACTGACTGAAGACTATGGTGGACAGTGGCTCAATTTCGTAGATTGGTTGAAGTTAGACATTAACACCGTTGGATGCCGGCTCAGTGGTCTAGAGGTTAGGCGTTTGCTCACGAAACCGAAGGTCCTGAGTTTGAATCCCACGGGGCAGGATCGTGGATGCACACTGCTGAAGAGTCCCACAACAGAACAAAATGATCGTCCAGTGCTTCCAGGTTTTTCATGGTAGTCTAGCTTCAATAGACTCATGACCTCAACTATTAAATTACTATAGTATTCACAAAACCTCTTTCTGATATCATTCTTTAAGCATTCATGATTTAATTATCAATTGATTTGAAGGATTTATGTGTTCTGTAATAATCACTTGTCTAATGAGATTCTTAAGATTTACTATTCAAATAAAAAGCTTTTGACATATTTTTATCTTCTCCATTGTTATACTACTGAAATAAGGAGAGAATTGTTCTTCAATAATTTTGATAGTCGTGGATTTTATATACTGGCAAAACGCTATATTTTTTCCGTAATTTAAGTTCTACTGCAAAAAAATGAGGTTTGCATCACAATATTTTGGATGCTGTAATCACATGACCCATTTAATGGGTTAAAACAGTTAAAAATTAAAAAGAAATTATAAACTTTGTTGCTACAATTTGTGTTATTTTTGAAAATTATGATGATATCTGAACTCATATTAGTGATACCTAGATATTCAGGTTGGTAATTATACTGGTGTTTATGGATTTCGGAAAAATGTTCATGGTGTAATCACTAAAGCTGGTGAGTGAATATTTTCAGTCAAGCAACAACAGAAAAAAAGAAAATTCTAGTGTTCACTGAGTGAATGTACATTTGAATTTTTACTTAGAAATAACTGGTAGAGATTAAGTCAAAATTTTTATTTAAACACAGTTAAAGTATGTTGTCAGTAGTGTTGAAATAAAACCTAAATTTGTAGTCAAGCCAAGTAAATCAGTCGAGAATGCCATTAGAACTAAACTGAAAAAGCATCTCAGATACTTTTTGAGCATTAAAAAACTTCATTTATTCAAGTTTAATATTCTGATCAGAGTGACAATAAGTTGTTTATAGCTGAATTTCATCAGACTACCGTGTTAATTAACCTTAAGTCATATGGGAGTTTATTGACTCTTTGGTTCATATGTTCCGCGCTGTTTTTAGACTAACAGTCTTAAATGACAAATCTACTTTTATCTCCAAATATTTTACTTTTTTAAGTTTTGCAATTTTAAATATAACCTGTTTGTTTCTTTCTATCAACAAACTGAACTGATTTACACTTATATAGTGTCATAATATTCAGTACATTCGACTAAATCATATTCTTTATTTAGACGATACAAGCCCCTACGATAGTTTCGCGAATATATACTTTCCTACTTATTTCAGGTTTTAGTTTAAACGAAAATGGAAGGAAACCTTAGAGATTGGGATGTATTAATTAGTTCTTTAGTGGCTCGAGATCTGACTCGAGGTAGATTGTTTCCTGCTTGTCGTCGAAATATAGATGTCGTCAATCCTCGTATATAATCATCGACTTAACTGACATTAATGAGTAACGGGATTAAATAAGTGCAATACGGGAATGAATTTTTGAATACGCATATTTCGTACAATCGTTGATCGGAAGGCGAAGCAAAACAAAATGACACCAGGTGGAAAAGGCGAGTGATCCAACTCCATTTAGACATGTGTGAATCGATATTTATAGTCAGACCAAAAATAAGACATGTGATAAGTAAGATAAGTAATTAGCACACATGTGACCATATAACAAACAGTCCAGATAAGTGAATAAGTGACAGGTTAAAAATATGGCTTAAGAAGAGTGAATAGATTGATCTGTCCAGAGACTAGAACAACCTATGTGGACTTCACATAGTACTAACCTATACCATTCTTTTATTTGAATAGGCTATCGCAATTATCTGACTTGAAATATTCACATCTTTGATTTATCGACATTGTTAAGTCATGTATAAAAGTTAGTAATCACTTATTAATAATGGTAAGTACTTGAACTAATAAATTTGTAAATAGAAGAATGTGATCAATCATAGTATTTGTTTAGAATTTGTACTCAAGCCTTTTAATTCAAATACTATTTTCTTGCAAATTAACTAATCAATGATCCCATGATAATTTCGACTTGGTTGTATACATATATATACTCATATTCAGTTGCTCAATTTTTTTTTTCGAAATGTTATTTTTTCTGTTTCCATTCAAGTTAATTGCTCGTTATGAATTAGATCGTATGTTAGATAAATATAATGGACATCGAATATCTCAATTAGTTGAAATAATGGAATTTGTTCGCATGACATCCACTGGTTCTGATGCAATTATAATTACTGGAGATTTCAATTTGGAATCGAATACTTCAGCTATTGAATTGTTTAGTACTTCATTAAAATTATCTGATGCATGGCTTAATAATGTAAGTTTGGAATATATATATGCTGTCTTTTTTCTTCAAAAAGTGTTTTCACATGTTTCATTACTTGGTAATTATGAAAACCTCCTAGTTATTGTTCTTAATAGCGATTAACTTTAAGACAGATTTTTTGAACTATCAGTTGAATGTCGGGATTCATGGTGCTAACTTATTTATGAATAAGTCATTTACTGATGGAATTTCTTGATCACCGCCCTGTATGACGAATCGATTGAAATTAAAATGTAAGTGATTTTAAAGTATTGCACTTGCTGTCTAACCAAGATTATAAATTTTTAAGTGGGTATTACTAAGAAATTCTAAACGTCGAACAAAAACAGTTATCCAGTTTTCTCTAGTCTCTAACAGTTCTTGAACTACTGTTAGTTTATGATTATGACTAAATTTAAATAATCCATTAAATTAATTAATGTAAATATAAGTGGGAAAAGTTAATCAACTTAATTAACATTTATATTAGATGTGTTAAATATTATATTTCAAATGTTTATAAAGTTACAGCTGTTCAACCTTTTTTTTATAGCACATACATTTTTGTAGTAAATTTACTGTAAACCAATAGTTGAGTTACATAAAGTAACATCATAGGTATGTCCAGTTTTAGTAATTTTATCTGTTGTATATTATTGTCGATATGTTAGTATTTAGAGCAATATGTATAGGTTTCATTTATAAAAGTGTAAAGTAAATTGATGCATGAACATGAAGGAAAGAAAAGAATTAGATATACTACATAATGCCCAGGTGTATCACTCGTATATATATGGGAATACGAGATGATACACCTGGAGACTAGATAATCCAACTACTATACTGAGAACCTTCATCAACCAGACGACAATTTGTTGCTTCAATTACGAGCAGCAGTTCACATACCGTAAAATACAAAGCAGAATGGAATGGATTTACATTATCATATAGTGTGTTTTCGCTCGGTAGACAATCATATCTTTCGCTAATCACATATTAATCACTCATAAATCCAGATGAAAAGAAAGTTGAATTTCTGATATATTTTTGTCTTTGTTCATAGAAGCAACACAACTGGACTGAGAATAGTTTTAAATGTAATAAAAATTAAATTACTTGAAACATACGAAAAGTGTATACTATGAATTTAGTAGTGTTTGGTCAATTGGTTATTAGCCAGTAACTGGACATTATATGACTTAAATCACAGGCACTATTAAGCGAATTCTGTTGACTAAGTCTATACATTTGGTCACCATAAGCGACAAATTATGGTTCAATGTAACTAATGTTCTTACCTATTAACGTGATGATTATGTAAGCCAGACTGTTGGTGTTCAGACAAGTGATTTATGAAATGAAGTAGCTGGTATGTGATACGAATCCATAACTTACTAGTTCAAAATCAACTGATCTGACATCTAAGCCATCACTATTCATGTAAAATATTAACCTTTTTATAAAATAGATGTTTTAACAGTCGATGCATTATTTCATAAGCTTACGATGACCTGCTTTTACAGGTCTATATTTCTACTGACTAAATTATACTTGATTTTTTTGATGAATCTTCATCGACAGAAACTTCTCTGATATACATTATAAACTATCTTGTGGTGAATGAGAATACAAGTGGGGAAAAACTCATTTATTAGAACACAAAATTGTAGAACGTCTTAGTAAAATATGAGAACCATACATTAAATACACCATTTGTAAAATGTCAATCTATCGTATCAGACTTCATTGTTCCTTCATTTCCAAACCAATCATTCTTTGTTCTCGTTCTCTTCTCTTCGTTCTTCTTAATCTTGTGTCATCAGGCATTTCACTTTCGTTTAATGATACATACTACTTATATCTGTCGACATCATTAGCGCAAGCCACACTATTATGTTTAAATTGTAAGACGTAGAAGAGAATTATTGATTATTTTGATAAGATTATTATTTCATGTTTATTCAACTAATATGCATAATGAATTGCAGAAAAACATTTTTTGTTAATAAAATCAGTGAGATTACAATTTATAGACAGCCTTCGAGCGACTGACCTTGTGAGTGTTCACCTAATATCAAGGACCAAATAAGGGTTTTAAATTAATGTGAGGAATTCGATTTATGATTTACAGTTGATGGTTAAGGTTAAAAAATTAGATTTATGATTTTCGTCACGAATTAATATCAGTTATAATGTCAAAACTCTATTTATCCAAATGGATAAGTTAATTTCGCGCCAAAATCTAAGACCTGTTATCTTATACCTGATTAGTTCATTCATAAATTATAGTCTCACCATAAAATCAAATGAATAATAATAATTCAATATTTATTTGTAAATTATTTAAGATCACTAATGATCTTAATCATAGTTAATTATGATTTCTTGTATAATATTTTTAAAAATCAATCTATTTACATGTTGATAATTGATCATGGATTTTGAATTTTGAATATTCTGGTATTAAAACATTTGAAAGAGAATTATTCGCTACATTTTTTAAATAATAAATACTAATTACAATTAAAAAAGTATCCTATGAAATCTAAAAAATTTAAATAAATAATCATCATCTCAATGTAGTTTAATTGAATAATCACTTCACATTTCACAATAAAAATATTGATCAGTGAAAATGAGACTCATAAGACTAAATTTAAAAATAAATAAACAAAAAAAATTATTAAAAAGTAGAAACTAAAATCAAATAAATCGATTAAAATTTATTGATAAAATCAATCAATCAATCAAAGACTGATAGATTCATATTTTATTCCAAAATTAATATAAGTCTTAACAGATATATGATAATCATTATTGGAAACAAATGAATTCAGTGTATGATTATTATTTTATTAAATTTGTTTGAAAGCATGAAGTGAAACATTGAAACGTTTATTTAATTCGTTCTAAATATAATATTCTATATATCATCTATTGAGTTAATGATTGCTTTTTCTTTATTTGTAGTGTAATTTTGAAACATTATATAATAATTATGTTATGAAAATTATGTCATCGATTAAGAATATTTAAAAATAAATTGATATATCAGGAAAAGGAAGTTCGGAAAATAAAATGTTATAAAAGTCTCTTTAATGACTTTTGATTGACTGATTTATTTAAACACACAAACATTGATAAAAAGAGGCATTGAATAGATATGCACCACATAAATCATTCGATTTATATGAGAGCTGGGTGCCCAGATCGAAGTAGGTGATTTTCTTAAGGAGCCGCACTCGGAGACTTTGACCTTAATGTCTAATCCACAAGGTAGTGCATATAGTTTCATGGTAGCCGGTAACCAATGATTGGTTTATATGCCATTTGTTCCTTCAGGATACTGAAGCCCATGTGCACCAGTGATTTGGAATCAGAGTTTTTCAACTCTCCTAGGTAGACTTTCCGTGTCCACCAACCTGGTTAAAGCACTGGGCATTCGCTTTTCATACTATCACTTGCGTATAAAACATCAGTTCTGCGAGAAGGCAGTGTGTAAGACTTCCCTGACAGAGGCTATATACGCTTGGTCATGTGAAAGCATTACGAGAGGGAGAGCGGACATTCTTCACTCTCGGCCGTACCAGGGCATTTGGGGCCAATGACCTTTGATAGATAACGTAAAATATATAAGATTTTTATCAAATAGATTGAGTGACTATATAAATTAATGCATACGAAACAGATAGAAACAAAGTGAAATGTACGCTTAACGACAAAAAATAATACTCGTCCATTGAGATATGTTTCATGAAGTAACTAACGTCCCTTTTTTAAAGTGTACAGTGTTGATGTTGTCGGGAAAGTTAGCCAAAATTTGAATTTGCGAAATGTAATACTTTGAAAATCGTATTGCCAGATAATTACATTCTTTTAGTTATCTCAAAATATTTCAAAAAGTGAATATTTCAATAATAACAACTAAGTGATTATACAAATGAAAAATTTATCTTTAAGTCACACTTTGCTTTAAATTTATTATAGATAAGAACACAAGTCCTATGAAACAAACAGAAAAATCCAATATGCATTGTGAATTACTGGGTCAACAACCGATTATTGAGCTGTAGAGGATCTCCATGGAATCAATTTACGCTTATTCCTATGCTCAATACATCGTTTTATACACGCTCCACGGTGTGGGCAGCCGGGAAGTGATATCAGCCCTCATACCCGTAACAGCACAAGAGACCAAGGTGGTCACATTCAAATCCTGATAGCATATATTCTGATATATTATTGTAGTTTACCGATAGCATCAAGTGATTAGGAATGATAAAACATCTTACAGTTCAACCAAATGTATATTGTTGTGTATACAGTGAGATGGAAATGCACTATACACATACGCAATGTTGTTTTACAGAAATTAAATGTATCTAGAACTTTATATGAATTTAGTTTCAATTTTACACGATTGGCTAGTAAGATCAGAACATGTCTATGACACTCTCGAAAAAATGTAAATCATGAGAGAAACAATAATCAATACGTGGAGAAAGCCTAACACATACAGATGAGGAAATTTAAATTTGGTTATATTCATTCAAATTACGTCAAATTATTATATAAAAAACAATTTTTCAAGTAGAATAAATAAAGGGTTTTCTACAGTTCGATTTCAACTACTCAGGACTACAGTGTGGCACATGCATTTCTAAAGCAAATATTTCACACAACCGATCATTTTGAGATCACTAGTGTTTGGTATTACAAATAACGGGAGGAAATAGATTTTTAATTCTTAAACTTTAGTTAACTAAATAGTATTGTATTGTCTACTCACCTTTAAAACCATCACGAAACAAATACAAAATTTCAGGTTAACATATGTTCGCATACATCTGAAGAAAACATGGCTCATAAATTCAACTAATATTGAGGATGTAGTTCGACAAATGATAGAAAATGTGGAAGACGTATTTTGGCTACTTATAAGTAGCCAAAAATAAAAAGACAAAAAGTAAATTTCAATTAAAAATTCAACACTAAATATAATAATTAATCCATCAAATATTACGAAGAAAACATCCAGACTACTGAACTTCCAAAAAATATAACAAAACTTATTGTAGGACTATGGGTCAAGTGAATTTACGTAAAAAATTAACTATATTTTT